AATTTCGACATTTTAATTAGCGTGTTTTCATTATATCAACTGAAATCTATTGGTATACTGGCCTCAATATGGCAGGCTGCTGTTTTATTATCTCAACTGAAAGCTATTGGTATACTGGCTTCAAAACAATGCAATTGATGCAAAACTTTTGAAAAATATGGGGTTCGACTTAAGTGGCTAAAAAAAGTCAATTAAATTTGAGTTGTAACAGGTTTTTATGGTTTTAAATGGTTTTTAAATACATTATCAGAAGCATAAATTATCAATTGAAGTTTACATAGAATGTGGGGAGGTTTGGTACAAAACGAAACAAAATTGTGTTCAAACATAATATTTTTTTTTTCATTTTTTTTGCAGCCATTTTGTCTTTTTTTTCATTCAGGAACTTTTTCATTGTGACGTTGAAGGGCAAAGGTAACATTAAGGGCTTTGCGCCGATGAGAGTACACTTTTTGTCAGACAAACTTCAAACTTTGACTTTTTAACTGGCTTTTTTACAGTCTGAAAGATGTTAATGCCCTCAGTTTAAGGTCAAAGTAATTCATCTCTTTTTTTTCAAAACACTTGTAATTTGAAGGTGCGACTAATCAAGTCTATTTGAAATAATTAACGCAAAGCAAAAAGGGCAAATTAAGCCGAATCAGAAATCATTGGGCTCTTTATTTGTTTAAGTCTGTGCAATAGGCTACTGCTGTCAACAGAGCCGTACGCAGGAGAATTTTTAGCCGGGGAGGTTTTTTAAAAACTTTATCGACATATTTTCAGTTCAGCCATTTCGAATTTTTCCAACTCTGTCGGAACATCAACATGGCCATTTTCAACAAAACTTTCTGCGCTGCAAGCAATGTTTTGGAAACAAAATGCCGTTTCCTAGTACTTCATGGAAGGTTTTGACTACAAAATGCGTTTTTTTGGCGCGCGTTTCCGTTCGAAGTTAGAAAATTTTGGCGCCAAAGGCGTCTCTGGAAACTTTTTAAGGCTGATTTAGAACTGAGTTTACTGAGCTCGATATTATAATTGAATTAAGAGCATTCAACGCGATGAGTTTAAATTCATCCTCACTCGTAATACTTTCGATTGGAGAAATTTCATTCCCAAGTTCGACGAAAGTGGGTAATGTGACCTTTGTTTTGACTGATGTGTGCAACGAATAGATTAAGAAGACGGTGTTGTCACTTTAACGACCCAACTGACAAATTGATATATTGATCATACTGCCAAACACCAAACTACGCGCTGAAGTATCTAGCTAATTCAGAATCTCAGATTAGGGACGGAATTGATGCACATTTGAGCAGCTTCAGAAGTACTTTTGAAGGGATAATGGACTGTAGACATAGATAGAGATTGATCGATTCGGAATCAGTTAGTCATGATAACTGGAATAAACGGGGGGAATATCGGGAGAAAAAAGGGGGGAGGGTAACCAAGAGCGGATCGAGGGAATATAGGACACGAACAATTTAGAAAGTACCAAAACATATCTTATATGAGCAAATTTAAAAAAAAACACGTTTTTAAGTGCGTTCCTCAAAGCTCAAGTGCATCTAAGTCAAGTGCACAACACCACCCCTCCCCCCCCCCTCCTTTCCTATCCCAAATCCAGACCTGGATGTGACATCACTATTTTTGAGTTGTGGAAACAACCTATGAACAAAAATGTGGTTTTGGTATATCCTTTATTTCGCTTGTTGAGTTTCTATGACTAATATTCTCTGCTTTCTTCAACAGCCGATTACGGCTTTTTAATTACACGCTTTTGAAAAGCACAAAATTAGGGCTTTTGACATCTTCTATTCATAAAGTTTTTAACAGATTAAACGAAATGATAGATGGTTTTTTAAGAGTTGTTGTTCCGACTTTTGTAACAAAAATAACGGAATATTTGTGCTCGAGTGGGTTTTTTTCTTCGGGCAAATATTGACTTTTGAACTAGTTTTTTTTGACGGAATTTTTTCATATCATTGAAAAGGTATTGTGGTCCTAAACTTAAATATGAAAACATATTTAACCTGTGATCATTTTTCGTAAAGTTATGGGGTTTAAAGGTTGCCATTGGGAAAAATTAACGCGCGATATACTTCGCACTATTAACCCGTTAGCGGAGATTAAATCTGTTCTACTAGAAATCGTTCCAAATTGGTCGAAAAAAGCTTATTTGCCATTGTTGATTTGTTATTAGTGAAGAAATCTATCTCTATGTCCTTTATTTGGCGTGTTGAGGTGATTTTCTCAAAAATTTCAAATGTTAGTTTGAAAAATTTTCATTTTATTTATTATATTTAATTTTTCTATATTATTACTGCTCCATAGACTTAAAAGGCAGTCGGAACTATCAGGGTTTCACCCTGATATGAGCAGTCTTGTTTTGCTTTTCTATTTTATAGTAGGAAAATTATTAGTGAAATTATCAACTGAGTTTTAAAAAAATTAAGAATGCAAAGGCGATAAAGCGGCTAGAAAAACTATTAAAGAATCATCAGTTCGAAAATAAAAAGATGAGAGCCAAAAGAAAACACAATTTAGTTTTCGAACTTAATATAGTTATGGCAATAAAAAAAAACAAGACTGCACTTATCAGTGCAAAATCCTAAATGTTCAGGCAGTCCTCAAAAATGTCTGGGGGTAAAGTTTGATTAAAAATTTTGATAAAAAATTCGGAAACAACTGAAAACTTTTTTGTTTTGTTTCTTAAATCTTTCTGACAGTTACTTTAACACTCGATGGCTCAATAAGCCTGACTCAATCCCAGTTGGAAAGAGCTCAGAGCTGGGTTAATGCCGCAATTTGCTAAGCACCAATAAAAAATTTCGCGAGCATGAATTACACTGAGAATTACTACCTTCAGACAATTAGTTTCAGAAGAATACCTTCAAAAAATTTCCAGCAAAACGGTTAATTATACGGTCGAGAATGTTATGAAAAAACACTCCAAGCATAAATATTCTGTCACTTTTTTCGAAAGTGGGGGCAATTAGTAATATGATATTGGTCTTTTTACAGCAAATTCTAGAATCAAAGTACGTGGCTAGGTTTGCTACACTAATTTCATCAATATATGTCAAAATTTCAGCTTTTCTATAGAAAAGTTACAAAAAATATTTAAATGTGAGAAAATTATAATATCTTTGTCCCGTGATTATTATTGAGACGTAATTTTATCAATTGGGGAGCTGCTTTATCTTTCGACAAACTTTAACTTGCATTTCTTTTTTGTTGTCAACCCAAAACTATTCACCACAAATAATCATCCGAACGAATCAAATGACATATTAAAAAAAAACCATTAATTTGTGATTTGAACATGAAAAAAAAATCGAAAGCGTTTTCTCGGTATAGATGTTTTCTCAGAGTGGAATTTCTTGTTTTTTTTCTACAAAACAACTACTAAGTAAAGTGAGCAAGTGAGGTTTTTATATGACGTCAGTTTGTTTGGTAGTTTATGTAGTAATGATAGTTTATACGTCTTTTCTTTAGCAAACGTTACTTGATCGATTTACTCAGAGGAAGTTGGAATAATAAAGCAAAAGTTTTTAACCTGAGAAAACATCGACGCGGATAAAACAATTTCAAAATTTTTTGAAATCGTTAAAATAAAGCTGTGAAAAACCAAAGGATAGCTCGTTAACTAAGATTCACTAGCACTTCTAGGCGTAGTTATGACTCGAGCAAGAAAATTGCAACCACTTCCATCGAAGTACCAATTGGTTTTGTGATTAATGGAGAGAAAACTTTTTGGATAATTTTTAAACTCTTTTGTATTTTGATTGGATATAAGCGAAGGGAAGGCAGAGCAAAACAAAAATGATCTAAAACAAGAACGGGTCCAGGAGCAAAAAAAAACAGAAAGCAAGTATTAGAATAGTCAATATTACCAATAAGCGAATAGATTATGCATGAACAGAGTAATTTGACCAACATTTTTCGAAAATTTTTGATTTAAAAAAATGTAATTATTCGTTTAATGTATAATTTGTTCTTTTCCTTGGTAGAATTGACAATTGTAATAATTGTTTTTATCGATTAGCCCACATAAATCAATATTAGTTAGTCTTCCTTCTCTTAGACCATACTGCTCATTGACTAGCCAACCAGCGACGGAAACTTTTATGCAGCTAAACATTCACCGACTACTTGCATTGTTGTGTTTTATATTGCTCTTTTGATTTTTCTCAATTTTTTCTACATCTTCAAATTATTTTCAGTGCAGAAATTATTCAAACGATTGTCTGTCTAATCATTCTGCTTGATTCTGATTCTCAAGATGACAAAATGTTTAAAAGGATTAATAACTCAGGTAATGTCTTCACTGTGACGACCTCTCAGTTACTGAAATAAAGCTACGACACAGGCCGGATATTTCCACACCTAATTTTGTCCAGAGAAAGAAGATTAAGCGCGGTTTCACAATGCGCGGAATATCTAGAATTTTTAGCAAGATGGTGAAGCAGGTTTTCAGAAATTATCTGGTAAATTTTGTTGACCTTTTCTGGGTCAACTAAAATAGTTAACGAGCTCTCAGCAAAAGCCAAAAAGACTAATTCAAGCAAAAAAAATCGAATCAAGAACATCTTTGAGTGTAGAATGAGTGGTCAAAGTTCGCGAGGGGAGGTGGCTCTATATGAAATGTCTAATGTCTAATTAAAAGAAATCTTTTTCATATTTTGTTTCTACTTCAAGGCTTTTTGGGGATCTTTTTGTTTCATTTAAATAATTCCATCCAATTATTTTGAAATTTGAGGTCGTAACAATTTGAGCTAGTTGTAGATCTTCAACTAGATTACGATTTTCCAGCTGTTTTTAGATGGAGGAAAACTCTCATGCGCGAAGTTTTGTCGGTCAATCAGAACTCATTATTCGATGCAACTAAGCAATAAAATCCATAAAGCCAAACGTTTTGGACATTTTAAACGGCATTGATTGGTTGAGAAGTTCAGCCTATTTACGTCTGTATCTTTCGGTTGGACTGCTACTGCAGTTTGCATGATAAAAGGTCTGACCTTGAGTTGTGACTTGATTGGTTGTATGCGGGGATCCTGCCAGAACTGGACGAGGTAGAAGTCCATCGAGGCATCCGAGGAGATGTCTCTCATACTCTCCAGGTGGATCAGCACCGTCAAGTCCACCGCTTCCGCATGGGGTCTGTCGAACTTACTGGAACACAGGAACAAACACAGTGCAAGTAGGAGATTCCCTACTAGGTACAAAACTCACATAGGCTTAACCTTTGAATTAGTTCACAATAGGGGTGGCAATAGCTTACTAGGTACCAAAAGGATAACTAAAATAATTATATACTAAAACAAGTTAATATTTTTTCGGGAAAAAAAGTTTCTCGTGTAGTGGAAGATAAGTTGGCGTAATGTTTAGCGTTAATAGACTGATAGTTTAAGGGTGTATGTACGGTTTTGTATAGCAGTATATACAAAAAAGATGTTCTCGCTAAGCGATATTCTATTGTATTCTACTGCAAAACAGTTCCTATAATAAGGTTCTAATTTAGGTTCTAAAATATTTTCGAACCAAAGGAACATTCTTCTCCAAAACAGATTTTTTGGGAGATTGTTTACATAGTTCACAAATTTTTGCAGCCCATCAGATTTGAGCATAGTACATGTAAGACTTAAGACTTAAGTTTTTCATTTATTTTTAGGGGGTATTAACGTAGTCTATGAAGGAGTAGATTGTTCACATGGGCTATATTTTTGATTTTGAATTCTATAAATTCAAAAGATACGAAAACACTTCGTTTCTTGATTGTAGGAAGGGGCGGATTTAGAGGGGGTTGTATTTTTCATATACCTTACCCTTTTGGTTGTAAGCAACCCTTTCGGTTGTAAATATTTTGAACTTTCTGCAAATTATGATGTAATTTAAATATGAAAGAAAATTAGGTAACTTTTGAGTAGCAAAAAAAAGCACTGCTCAACAAAAAAGCAGAAAAATGGACCATGCTCAGACAGACTGGATAGTCTTTCATACATTTTTTTGCAAATTGCAGAAATCACAATAATTTTTATTTCTTCTTCTAATTATTATTATTATTTTTTGAGCTCTAAATCTTTCCGTCACACAATTTCGAGTAAAAAGACGCTATGTTTTTAAATTGAATTGCTTGATCGCTCAGCATTAAGCATAATGGGTGGAATACTTCGTTCCCAAGGACCGAATGCGCAAAAAAACTCATCGGCAAACCACACGAAAAAAAAACGGTCTCTCAGCTATTGAACAATTTAAAGGGCCTTGGTTGGCTGAGAACTTTTTGCGCACTCTGTATTTTGCTCACAAAAATAGTCCGTAGTTTGATGGCCGAACTTAACAGCGGAACGCCTCCTTGTGCAGAACAAAATAATTGTTTGCAGGCATATTTACTAAATACGAAACTGCTATTGGGTGTTTGCATTCGTTTTTAGTAGTTTTTTTGAAACTTTTTGAATCGATTTTCACACTTGTTTTTGGCCGCTTGTTTGTTGATACAGAATGCTCAAGATAACTCTGATTTCTCAAAAAAGAGCTTAATTGTTCAGGTACGCATTCGTAGGTCCTAAAATGAAAAGTCAGTGCCAAGTTCAAGAATGAATCATTAAGTTTCAGAATGAAAAAGCAGTGGCATGAACTCCAAATCTTTTTACTTAGTCAAAAACAACTTCAGCCGACTCTCGGTTCAAAGTCACCGGCAGGGGCGGTGCCCGCGCATCACTGCTTTGCTTCGAGTATTATACTCTGTTGGCAAGCTAAAAACACGTTGGCGCTACTGAGGCGGTCACTATTCTGCCGCTTGATTTTATGCTGCTTGAACAAAAAATATATATCTATTTGATTCTTTGGCTTAATTTTAGCCAATCAGAAATTACAAAGAGAAATTTTGGTTTTTATGCGACTGTTTTTTTTCTTTTTTTTTCCGAATTTTCTTTAAAAAAAATGAAATATTTATGCTTGGTGTGATTTTTTATAGTCAGTCAATTTTCGGCGATCAAAATAATAGTTTTTAACAAAAGAATTTGATGTCCCTTTGAAGACATCGACTCCTTGAAATGAATTGTAAAAAAATCTTTTTTACCTCCGATCATTTTTTTTGCGACGTTTTGGGAGTTTGAAAATTGATCATTTGGCCATGCTCTGGACTAATTTATGCCGGCTTTGAAACTTTTATTCAATTATTTATGCGTGGCGAAATAACATGCAAAACAAAATTGAATTGAGGCTAGCTAATCGGTCGTATTAATTTCGTACGACTCAATTTTCCCATTTTTATTTTTGATATTGTCAAAAACTGATAGTTTTTCAATATTTCTTTTCCCTAAACCTATTTGATGTTGATTAAGGCGCAGTCGAAACGTTCAGGGTTGTGCCTTGTTATAAGAGCAGTCTTGTTTCGCATCTTATGAAGGTTAGAATTTATGGGAATTCAATTTTTTATTATTATTTGCACATGTGAAAAATTTGCTTAAATTGTAATACCAGGTAAAAGCCTGTCATATTTGATGCGTTTTGCACTTGGATGGTTCTTCTCTTCGACCGACCTCCAATTGCCAATTAGTTTGATTCAATTCAATTTGGAAGTGTTCCGGGGCCGTATTTCTTGCTGCCTACGCGTTACAAGAAATTGAATGGAAATATAATACTCAATTATTGTCCCAAATAGCCCAAAATTCAAAACTTAGTTCAATTAGCTTTACTCCACAATTTTTAGATGATACTAAAAGTCATTGATTCTAAAACACCACAAAAATTGGTATTTAAGTGGTATAATTGACTGGAGATCATTGACTGGAGATCAAAACAACACCAATTTTATCTGGATCATTTTAGATATTAAAAACTAGGTAATGATCCGAATAAAAGCATAAAACTGATCATGAAAGTTAGGCTTCAAAATGGTCAAGTGTTAGGAAAACATCGTTCTGACGAACTGCTTAATTCAGACGCTTGCATTTTTTCTTTAAAAAATTTTCTCGCAAAATGTTTCTTTGAAATTCAGTTTTTGTTGCTGTTTTTTAGTTTTAAAAGTTCCAGATGTTTGCTGCGTACCCAAAAAATTGCATTTTTTATAGTACTGTAATGACGCTTGAATCACGAATGAAATATTGGGTTTTTGCTGTTATCCGTCACAGAATTTTTTCTGGTTATTTTTATAAGCTATCAGACTTGTTTTTTAAAATATACCAAGCACCAAATTGGTCATAAAACGACCCAAAAGTTGAATGCAGTATTATATATCAGTTAAAGCCCTACGAAAAAAATAAAAGACGAAGAAAAACAACGCAATTGTGAACATGGAGGACAAAAACTGAAACAATTATAATTTTTCTGCCTGAAATCTGACTTAGTAAGTCTTATGCATCTGGTTTAATTCATCTGAAATCATTTCGTAGAATCAATTTTTAGAAAGTCAAGGCCTCCAGATTACAGCTCGCTCAACATGTTGAATATTTTTTCTTTTTCCCAAAATGTCGTTTTATTTGCATACTTTTTACATATTTAACGTTCCATGTTTAACGTATACTTTTAATGCTATTAAACATCTACTTCAAAACAAATCTCAATCTGTTTGGTTGCTAAGTCGTAAACCGATGAACACCGCAAACGGCATATGAAAAAAAAATGAGAAAAAATGGGTGAAAATGCAATTTAGAGCTCCCTACTTCAGATATGCAACCACTAACATAATTTTTTATTTCACTCTCTTAGCCTGATTATTTTCAGCACTCATGTGTTTGCTATTTTTAGTGAGCCGATTAGATAGTATTCCGTCAAAATCCACAGGCTACGCGATGCAGTGCTATCAAAGTTGCCGCTTTTTATAAATTTCAATTGATTTTTTTTATTATAAGTCTTGTGGATGCAAAACCATGTGAGAAGTTTTCAAAATTAAAAACAGGCTTATCAATTTAAATTGTTTCCGTTCTTAGCACAATTCTAATTTGTTTTTTCTTCTTTTTAAATAGAAACTAATTTTCATGCTCATCTTGATGTCCGAATTTTTATTGCTAATAAAATCGCTTGATTTTTAGTTGCCCCAAAAGCTCATCTTTTCAACTTCTTGGTCGCATCTTTCTTTTCAAACACAAAATCACAGAACCATACGTATCGTAATCAGCACTAAACTTAACGGTATCAAAAAAACTTTTATGGCGCAGGCTCAGTTTGTCATCTCAAGCTGAAATTCAATTGCGTCTTATTTAAGGCAACAAGGCAACGCCATGTTTAGGGTACTTCATAGGGTGAAATAAATTGAATCAGCTATAATGGTTCATATGAGACTAGTTCATTGTTGTAAATTTTTAATAAAACAAAAGTAACTCATTGGTCTTTATGTTCTTGAGGTGCTTTGTTTGCAATCAGCTTCGTTTTTCACGCCATCATCAAAGAAGCTTTTTTCACTCAATCCACGTTCCGAATCAAACTCTTATTTGTTTCAATTCCAGACGTTTTAAGGAAATCTGTTGCTGAAGAGTAAACAAGACTGCTCGTATATCAAGGCGAAACCCTGAAACTTCCGACTGCACTATTGGGCCACTTTAACAGTTTTTTTGGTTGAAAAATTGATAACATAATCCAAAAAACAGAAAAAAAAAGTATTTTTTTCGTTTTTTTTTTAAATTAATACCCCACACGTTATTGTAATTTGTAAAGGGATGTATCAGCCCGCGTGTTATAAGAACGCAATATTTTGCGCGTTAATTATCCCAAATTGGGTAAATTAGCCATTTTCAAACCCGATAACTTCACAAAAAATGATCACAGGTAAAATTTATAAATTTGAGCTCAGAAAATCAACATCTTTCAGATGTTATAAAAAATTCCCTCAAAGTGCTAAGTTAAAAAGTCGAAAAGTGACTGATTAAAAAAAGCACCCCAAGTTTAAATATTCCGCACTTTCTTCGAAAGTCTGGAGCAACAACAAAAAAAAAACATCTGCGGCATCGCAAATTGAAGAAATGGTAAAAGGAGTAAACAGAGGTAAGGTTTCACAGTCAAAATTGAGAATTTTAATCGGGAGATCCACAAAAGAGGTTAAGGCAATAAATATTTCAGATTAAGCCGATCGATTTTTTTTTGCTCTCAAACGGCCATTAATATTTTCTTTGACTTGCAAATGTTGCAGATGAAAAGCAATGGACAACTAATGGACTAATGGACAAATAGTGAGT